GGCTCCTGACCCGGGGCGGGTGCGGGGTGTGTGTGGGGGTGTGTGTGTCCCCGCACCATCTCGGTGTCGTGCTTTGGGAGGTGGAAACTGTCGCCTGGAATGTAATCGGCTGCGTGTGGGTACAGGGGAGGTGAATGCGGGTTTAGTGTTTTATAATTGTGTCGTCTTCTGGTGCGTAATACTGTGTCATCCGCACCTAGAGCGCCTGCTTTCGGAGTTCCTCTGGCCGGGTTGCTCATCCCACCGTGTCTCAGAAATAGTTTGGCATCCAAAAAGGAGCAGATCACTGTAGAGATACGCTGACATTAAGTAATTATAAAGCACTGTACACGGGCTTAGCATCTATCATTTGTTTCTTTAAAATACCCAGGAGGACATACTTTGCATGGGAAGGGAAAAGAGGGACGTGTGTGTGGTCTGTTCCTCAACATTTCAAAGCTTCTGATGATGAGTGTGGAAAGGCATATTTTTTGTTGCAAGTGAAGCTTGATTTCTGAGAGGAAACTAGAGCTAGGCACCAGAGAGTCACCATCAGTTTTCACCCAGTATCAACATAGCCCATGCTCAACCTCACTGAATTTTCCAGGAAGACAGAGGTTTTGGGATTTTAGAGTTATGTGAAGCAGAAGACAGTGGTAAACTCAGAAAATGAGATTAATTGAGCCCTCAGCCTTTAGAACATGGACATTATACTTGGTGTTACAATTTAATGAAGCCTTTAATAAAGTGCCTGTCTGAAAAGTCTTTAGGCAGAGATTTGCTGTAATCCAGTTTGGAGCTAGTGGTACATGCAAATATAATATACTCAGTGGAAGAAGGGGCATAATTTTGTTCCACAATTAGAATGGGTCTAATAATGACTTCCATTTAAATGTGCTCTAATGGTCTTTTTTAATTATTTAAAAAAATAAGTCATTGTAATGTTAATAAAATACCAGACCAACACCCAGAAGTTCCAGTAAAATACTTTCTTGTCCAAAGCATCTCAATGTCACAAGAATATGGAACAGTTCTGTATTGCATACTGTGTGCTGCTTCTACTTAGTGTTTTGAGATTATATCAGACTTCTTCCTTTCTGTTTCCTACTGTAGGAAATATGTGGATTTACTACGTATTTATTTCTTTTGTTGCTTTTTCCTTACTATTTGCGGGATTATTCTATTTTCTCTTAAAAGCACC